CTCCCATCGCCCGCCGCCTGGGCCACCACCCTCCCCAGTCCCTCAACGTGGGGAAGCCTTTATACCAGAGCATGAACTGCAAGCCCATGCAGATGTACGTGCTGGACATTAAAGACACCAAGGAGAAAGGACGAGTCAAATGGAAAGTGTTCAACAGCAGTTCGGTGGTGGGGCCGCCCGAAACCAGTTTACACACGGTGGTGCAAGGCAGAGGGGAGTTAATCATATTCGGGGGCCTCATGGACAAGAAACAAAACGTGAAATATTACCCCAAAACAAATGCCTTGTACTTTGTGCGAGCAAAAAGATAATGCGGCCCGAGCCCTTCCGCCGCCTTCACCTCCCTCCCCTCCCTCCCCACGGCTCTTCCCTCCTTCCCAGGCCCTCGCCCTGTCACGCAGGCGTTCAAACTGTGAATGAGGGAGCAAGAAAACCAGTCAACGTCCCAGCAAAACCTCCAGCGCTGCTCCGCCTGTTCCCAGTAAGACCCCAGGTTAAGCAAATCGTGTTTACAGGCGGGGAAAGACTCACGCCGCTGCGATCCAAGCCAAGGATTTGGGGGTGAGTAGGGAGGGAAATCCGCCATCCGGTGTCCTCTTGAGGTTGGGATTCGTTTTCCAGGGGTTTGAGAGGCTTCGTCTCTTCCCAAAAACTCCTCGTGGGATGGGAGTGAAAGCGGTTTTGTACAAACAAACCGGATCCCGGCAGGCGGGAGGCCGTGGACTCGTGCGCGCTGAGTCTTTCCGTGCTTGACTCCGTCAGGAAAACCACAGCAATACCCCACCAGGAACCTTCCAGCGCTGCAAACCTCTGCTCCACACAACCGCGATGCCTTTTTGGGTTTTTTTGCCTCTCTCACCCCCCTTTGGCCTGCCACTCATTCCTCTCCTCCGTCCAGGACAGTAAGAAGGAAGAAAGGACAATTTTTTTTCCTGTCAAAATGCCAAAAACATTGAGAATTAGCCGGGCGTTAGCGTCCTCCCCTCCCGGCCCTGCGCTGCATCCGGCTTCGGGATCAGCCCTGAGCCCTCCTGATCAGCAAGAACCCCACGCCATTGACTCTAAAACTCCCGTTATTCCCCCCAAGCTGCGAAATTTGGCTGCCCCTTCCCTTCTAGACTTGAAGGTTTTGTTTCGCTCCACAGCCCAAACCCGGTCAAGGCTGAACCGGCACCAGGGCTTGTGGTTTTTTTCCAGCCAAAAGGATGAATATTGGTAAATCTGAGAGCTTGAGCACCCTCGTCTTTGCACGTGCCTCCTTCCGCAGAGCTCCACCCAAAATCCGAAGGGACTGAACCTCCGCGTCCTTCTGGGACAACTTCCCCCCCCTTCCCCTTGAGACGATGGGAGGGAAAAATGAGCGGATTCGGCCAGGTTTTGGTCAACAACCTCCAGCACCCAAAAAAGGAGGGAACACTCCCCAAACCGGCAGCGCCATGACGTGGCCCCTTGTCCCCTCTTTTATTCCCCGCCCCTTCCATCCCCACGGAGCTTTTCGCCGGTCACAGCCTTAAATCCCACCCCAGCCGCGTGGGGACGGGGAGGGTTTTGCTTCGTCTGCGGCGTTTCCACCTCTGTAAATAAATCCCTCGTTCAATCCAGCCTCTCCCGCTCCACAGCCCCAAAAGTATTGGATTTGTCCGAAGGAAAAACGCAATTTTTACCCCCAAAACCTCAGGAGCACCCAGGGTGATCGATGAAATAATTCTCTGCTTTAAAGCTTTGCCGTCGGGAGGGCGGTCGGGGCTTCAGCAGCGATTCTCTCCCCCCCCCTTTGCATGTCGCTTGTCATCCACCCCCCAAAAAAAAGAGTCAAAAAAGGGATGGGCGTTGGGTTGACAGCTTTCTCCCGCGGAGTGTCCCTCGAGGGATGTTTTTTCCCAACGTTGACGTGCTCTTCCATCCTCAATCGGTCCCAAAATCCCCCTAACCGGCCCCAA